ATATAATGAAATCTTTTATGCTTTGTTTTAAAGATTGTACCTAAGATTGTACCTACATGCGTTAGAAGTGTCATGTTTATTCAACAGAAACATTATTCAGTACGATTACATATTCAATCCGCGCCCCAACCGCTCAGAGGCTCCTTCCGAAGTTGCCTTTGCAATTCTGCGAACATCTTCTATATGGCAGAGGTGACAGAATTAACGTGCATATGTCGAGACTTGTTATATCGTCACTCAATAACGCTCCATTTTAATAACCCGAAGGGTTTAAATCTCGCCTGTTCGGCGACCACATGTAGTCCTCCTCCTTCAGATACTTTAGTTATCCACGGCTGCACAACAGTTTGTAGAACATGCAAATAAACTTGTCTAGTGATGCGTTCGCTTTTTAAAGAAAGTACGGTGGCATGATGTCTCCGTCACTGAATATAAATGCTTAGAATAAACTGTGGCCGAAATTCTGCCTCGATTCACAATGGTTATATACTCTGAATCGTAAGCAACCCAGCGATAAAGATATATTGAAAGAATTAAGTCAAAATCGGTCGAATTTCGTCGTTTTCGTGCCCTTAAGGAGATTCTGTCGGTCTGTGTCTTTTAGTCTATGTGTCTATACCTAACTTTAGGTACATTTATGACATTCACCTTAGGTCCTCGGGAACAATTCGCGATATCGTATCACTTACATTAATTTTCTTTACTAACACTTTAATCGAAACGGAAGGATCATTAAAAATATACTTTTGAATGACAGTAATTAATTTTCTAGCTCGCACTGTTATTTCTCTGTTGTAGATTTTCCATTGCCCTATAATGGAACCTGCTCCTGCTTGTTCCACAGCAACACGCCCGCTGGCGACGTGCTACAGTGTCTATTTGAAATAATCTAACATCTAAGCTTTGGTACTGCGACAGTGACAGTAAGTCAGCGCGTTTTTCAGCTTATCCGAACTCCGAGCTGTTCATAACCTCTCTATGCGCCGAATGTATGTCCCGCCTCGCTATGAAGCATTCCTTCAGACGTCTAGCTTCCAGCATAAAACGAAGTACGTATGCCTCGATTCGAACGTAGACCTCAACGTGTCCTTGAAATTACGATGCAAATGCGTTACCATTAAACTATCTCGGGGACGAGTTACTCATAACGCAACAGTCGCTCAGCAACTGGCCGTCAAGTCATGAGTTAATAGAAGTTCATAGGATTATAGTGGTACAAATCTTTTAAATCTAAACCACTTAAAGCAAAACACGAACCTTTTGAAGAGTATTAAATTGTACTCGATGATACTTGATAGTAAATTACTTCTATATAGTGTTTTTACATCGGATAGATTAGCATAGCATATTCGCCACTTGGATGGATAAGCCACTAACAGAAATTATCAAAATCTTTCCAGAAGTTAAAATGTTGCTTTTAAATGTTGAAATATTAAAATGCACCAACAGGATTCCCAAGGTGGCAGTCGTTCGAGTTCCCTGTCGCCGGGCGTCTTCTACCGACGTCTACCCTTGTTTGGATCTTCAATAGCTGCAGGTCTTACAAGCTCTTCTTACAGATCATCATAAAGGCCTGATTTAAATACACGAGGGTAGAAAAACAGTTGTCGATTTTTTTTATCCCCATTACATTGTTTTCAACACGGTCATCCCTGGGGAGATTGTGGCTAACATAATGAGAAATATCGAATGGTTGTTCGAATGGCGCCATCGTTTACCGGCAGTCGGTCATCTACTCTTCCGCCACTTAGAAGCATTCTGACGATGACATTCATTGAAATACATGAACGTCGACATCACACTGATAATTAATATGCTTCTATAATCGCTCTACCAATAGGACGAATCAGGATATTATCGGATATCTGGTTACCTAGTCACTTAACAGCGTAGATTCAACTATTATACTGGTACTGCAGCCCCGTGAGATTTTCTGAAACGAAAATTCAGTACAAGCTTATATTGTCTTATTGAACGCGTATTGGCTTTTCCATCGGTTTACCTACAGGAAAATAAAGCTTACTTGTGAATATATAAAAGGGAAAGCCTAACTAAATTGTGCACTCACAACTTAACAGAAGGATGAACCAAGCACTCAAAGGCTATGGAACAGCATTGTAACAAAAAGTCTAAAAACTGGCATTGTGCAATACCCACTCTTGGTCACAGAGTTGTGACAATCAATAATACCAAACAAAATAGAGTAGAGGATTGGTGCTTTGTATTTGGGTTTTTTGTCATACGTTGTCTTTAAAAATATAAAATCCTCTCTAATAAGTCGTCTAATATAAGGGCCAGCCAAAAATAAATCACGAATTCCTTAGAACGAACGCAAACGCTAAAATCGGCGGTTTAATGCCAATGTATGACACCATACACAATTTAATTAAAACGATTTTAGTAGATTCTAGTTACTACTCACAGACTTCAATACAAGCTCATAGAGCGTATGAATACTTTTTTGTACATATCTTGAATGGTTCTTGGATTAGTCAAGAGTAGATCGCTGCAGTAGTTTCGAAATTCTTCCATAGATATATGGGTCGTGCGCTATTAGGCTGATATCGCTACGCTCAAAAACTATCAAAGAACTATACTTCGTTAAATAATGGTTCGTATACTTTAATTATATAATATTACTCTTCTTTCTCATTTATTAAAGTCAACGAACATGAGAAAAATACCCGAATTCCGCATTGGTTAAAATGGGTAATAAGGAAAAATCAAACAAACGAAATTCTGTTCACGTACAAGATGAGACCCGTGTTTTACGATGATGCTTGGCCAAATGCCATAGGCCTCGACCAAAGTTCACGAACAACCATCGTGCACAATTGAAAACTCGACTACGACCATGCGCAGCTAAAGCGGCCTAAGTCATATGCTATACACGCAAAATTGTTGTCAAGGCAGTCCAGTACTACGCGTGTAGTATCAACAACGGAATATTGTATACAAGTTCTCTTCCAGCAACACTTATCACATAAGGCCGAGTGAAATGTTTTTTACAACGAAAGAATAAACTATGTAAAAAGGGGACGAAAAAATCGAATGGTTTGTGGTGCCGTCAAGTCACGTTTATTTTTAGACAGTGCTATTTAGTGACTTGGATGTATGGTACCTCCCGATGTGTGGTTTATTGTTGTTGGCTGAGCTATTTTGTGCTCGGTGAAGTTCCAATTCCGTTGTTACTCGGCCAGCTTGTCATAAATGCTAAAATACTATCCGCGTTGTGGCACGCTGATAAGTTCTATCACTATAGAAAACGGTAAAGCTGTATGGCCTTGCCATAAATAAAAAGGAAAGCTCTTACAGAAATATAATTATCACCATGACCATATCCAGCTTCCTCGTTCCTGGTATCGATGTTGCATATTGCCATCAACGTGTGATAAAATCAAACGCAGTCATGATGCAACTCATTTAGTGGTGTATCTCACAAATAAAGATGATTCATGCTCCTATTACATACATTCCCCCTGCATTAATGCACTCAACTCAATCAGGTATTGCTGTCCTATTTTTTATCGTGAAAAAAACGAATTCGTTAACGAATTCGGTAGCCAAACGCATAGAAACAAACTGGCTTTCTCAAACGAACTAGTTCGTTCATTTTTACGACATCCTCTTAGAATTGCTCTAAGTATGATATAAGTATAGAAATCTTTACGAAAATTTCCATGAAAATTTGCCCCGTCCACTGAATTTGTGTTGTGAATACATTTCTGTCCAAATTAGAAGGCAAAATTAGAGGTACATAAACTACAGCAGAATAACTGTATTTCCAGATATGCTTTCTTTGAGACAGTCACATACATTCAAAAAACCGTAGCAAAAAATAAACAGCTCCAATTATAGCAGTTTCATACCAATAACATAGTTTATTGTTAAATATATGTATGTTTGCGTAATTTACATTGTAGTCAAGTTGATTTCTTTCCGTGTTGTTGCTACTATATGTAGTACATACGCAGATCAGTCACCTTGTTAGCTTTCATTAAATTTTCCGTAATGATTTTTATTCTTCTGTCCCTGTATTTTTCTCAATTCAGCCCACAGGGTTTTTTGCTGAAATAACACAAACTTTTTACGGCGCCTGTTTCATGAGATTCAAGTAATTACGGCTTTTCAGTGCATGCATTTTGGATCGTATCAGTCTAACGAGTCACCTACCTAAATTAAACAATTCACTCAAATGGATTTAACTTAGCTCAACAACTTTTGCAATGAATGTCTTCCGCGACTTATCTAGCGAACGCATTTTCATCTACATACTGCTGCCGTAAAAAAAGCGAATTGTTGTATCAGTCTGAAGCACAATATCAGTACATATTAGTTGAAATTAATTAAAATGAACAAAGAAACCCAAGAGATAATCAACAAATTACCACAAGTTATATGAAATCGAAAGTGTATAAAAAATAATATTAATAATGAACACAGGACCATCACAGTGGTATCGTCACCGTATGAATAATAATAAAGCTAACAGATAGGGCAGAAACAATAAAATAATAACAAAGAAGGTGTTGTTTAAAATCAAAATAATAATACTAAACTGAGAAATATTGTCAACTGTCTGTTCAGCTGAAGCAGCCCATGAGTAAGTTTGTTCGTTTACTGATGATTGAATGAGTTACCCTTATAACGCCCACTACTCGCCCACTTTTTGTGGTTTTCGCCTGCGGCATTGTTCTTTCCTGTTCGACGTCTCGTTCACAGTATAAAGCCATATCTTTCACCTCGGCCCAATCTCGATGCGCACACACGCTTTTCATTCACACGCTGTCCCTCACGTATTTTAGTTGCAACACCCGAGGTCGCTCCTTCTGTTTACATCTAACGAATTTATGCGGTGCCGTTCTTATCATTTTCTCCATTGGTTTTCGCTTTGCAATTGAGAGGCATACCGTGTCAATGCCAATGCAGAAACTCTGTTTTGGGTAGTTTTTGAGTCGATGATTTTTTCCCATTATCCTAGCTATACCTTCTGTTTTTCCTCTTATGTAACTGTACATTTGAATTTGTTATTTCTACGAATATGCACTTGTTTCAATGCAAGATTCTTAAGTTGCGTTCGCTGTCAGTGCTTTATTAATAGTTCTGCGTTAACAGGTCGTGTCCTAAAGTATTTTCAACAGTAACGTTTATCGCAAACTTTTTTTCGAATTGATTAGGCTGAATACGAACTATAATACACACGAACACGCACAGATAGACAATGAAGCCGTTTTAATGCGCCGATACACTCCTCCCACTATCTCCGATAGTTCCCACACCGTATTGTTAAATGTTGTCAACTGTGACTAAGCCCTGACCAGCTTAATAGATCATGTACTAAATCGATTTTTTTCGAAATACATAGTAGCATACAGTAGGAGAAGTATATCGCACTACAACATGCGCACCAATTACACCGAGTAAGCCAACTGGCGGAACCTACACTTTTAGTATTTTACCAATTGATACAAATACTCCGTCTTAGCGTCGGTTTGGATTTTAGAATAATTTGATATTACAACAGCACGTATGGATTTCCAAAAACGATTTGATTTTTTCTGTTTTGTTGATTTTTCAGTGTTCAGCTTTGGCACCCTTCACGCTACTTTAGATTTCATTTGCTCTCATTTACGAGTGCCAACACCCAGGCAATATATTTTAAGTTCTAATTTCACAGTACTCAGAATAAATTGAGATTTGTCTCTAGCAAGCTCTTAGTCGTAGTAGGTATGCGTTTGCGCGCCATTCTTAATACCTTAAGAAATCCGGCTCTTTCTGGTATAAAACTCCAGACCGATCACGGCGGAACCAGAAGATGCATCTTCGAAAGACAATCTAATATCAGCTGTGTTTGTAACCACATTGTGATTGTAAATCAATAAAGTCGGTGGTCCATGCTGTTGCCGGTCATAACTCACCTCTCACACAGCATAAGGGAAAATGGGTCAAAGGGAAAATTAGTAAAATGGGGCACAATAGGCCATTCCTAGAGATTCTGAGATTTGAATGTAAAGTTAAGAGGCCATCTTCAAAATGAAATTATGTATAGTTTGTAAGCTAATTCATGTAAGTTACGACGGTTACCCCTTTTTCGACCTCTTGTGCCTTGCTGCACTTCTTGGGCTTGTATACCCTGTGTGGATTTCTAGGTCCTTTAGCTTACTGTGAATTTAGAACGTAAGTCCGTTTAATTTTTTTGTATATGTGACCTATTCCAGCTAGACATCAATGATTACTACTAGAAAGTTATTTGGAACTCTAATTAGAGTCCCAAATAACTTTCTAATTTTAAATTTTATTAACAAATTTTTATTTAAAAAAAATTAAAGCGATTTGCAAGCGTTTTAGGCTTCCATATCAACTTAGTCTCAATTTATCTCTAGTTTTTAAGATACGAACACTATATAACGTATGGCAGTAAGGCAAGGTAAGAGGAATAACAAAAAAGGTGGTACTCGTCATACATATTTGAATTTTACAACGTTAAATGTTTATCGCTATCCGCTTATCGTCGTTACAGCTTTATCCATCCAGTATCAACGCGGCATGCTTGCTAATCACAAGTATCTGATCGCACAGACATCTTCAGACACAAACACCCCGTAGTTTTCCCTTCATGATTCCTTCCTGTTTGTTGGCTTTTGTTTCTTCTACGGTATTCGTACGTGCTTGACAAGGTACAATAGCCATATCAATGGGTATCATTATTTATCAAACAGTTTGCTCTAGGCAGTCAACCTAGTCTTTGAGCACACGCAAGTTCTGTCATGCCGTATGCTTTTTATGGATGTTAGTAAAATTGTATTATGTGGGCTACTGAGCACTTGTCAACCCTGTTGTAGCGGCAACCCGAAATGCATCGATAAGATTTCGCAGACCAAAGAGATAGTTCCCATCAGCTGTCTTCGTTGGAAACACATGTGCAAAGTCTATAAGTTTAACCGAGCATCGGAGTTCAACGGCATCATATACGAATAATATCGAGCTCGAATAGAATGAAAATCTCTTTTGAATTAAAAACCAATCCATAATTCGTTGTAATTCGTCAATAATCAATGGTACGCAGGCAGGATTAGCACTAGTGAACGTCTTGATAGCTTCAGGTACACTTTTCGGAGTTTGTTGTAGGCCGTAATCGGCGTCGTAGACGTGGCATATACCCTGCTCGAATACGCGCATACCCAATATCCTATATCCGATGTCCCACTGTGCTGGGTATTTGTTCATAGATTGCTCAATTTTCTCGACACTCGCTTCTGGGTCGTATGTCACTCGGCCAATTTTTATGTCAGCTATACACGGCTGTTGAAATCCTTTGCACAAATCCTCCAATTTTATATAACAGACGCTATTGTGATCGCCACCAGTAATCGCCACCGTAAAGTCGGTCTCGAATACGCCAAGGTATCGCGGCGTCAAATCACCGAGTTTATGTAACACCGGATCATCACATCTAGCCGAGTTGATGTTGTCCTCTTGGCACATCTTGCGGTGAAGTTCTAAGAACAGATAGAATTCGTGTTCCCGATTAGCTCGCACGTCGTTCGGCATCAAGGGTTTCAGGATCGAGCCGTCCTGATGACGCAGCATGCCCAGTTTAGTTTTGCCGTGGCCATGCCGATGTCCGGCTATTTGCTCGTTAAGTGGCATAGTGCTTCTTGGCAAGGGCATCGTTGTTGTTGTTACGCCACTGTGGCAGCCGTTGACGTTACTTTGGCTTACGAGTCTGTCAACTGCGTCGTGCTTGTTGCGGCTTGCAAAAACAGCGGTCGTCCCGGCAGCACCAGTGGCAGCAGGGATAACTGTTCTCTTCGTAGGCTCATTTTTCTGAGCCTTATTCAATAGCTGCTTCCACTCTGATTGTTTCTGCTTGTGCTCTTGCTCGTCCTGCGGAGGTAGATTTTCCGTCGTAGGTTCTTCAGAACTCGCAGGACTACCGGTGGTCGATTGGTCCGTTTCCCCTGATGCCGTTAAATTGGCGTAACGGGCTGTAGACCTGGAAGTGGCCACTCCATCAACGGCAGCAGCGACTGTAGTACTTGCTGGGTTCTTGTCGAGTTGCTCTTCCTGCTGACGTGCCGCGCTGGTGATGGCAGCACCAACGGTGCTATTCTCCACTGTCACAATAGACAGTGCCAGTGGTGTGGTACCGGTACTGGTTGTAGACGGCCGTTGCTGATAGTGCGACTGAGCTTGAACGTCACACGACGCCAGGTTGTTACCGTTGGTAGTGCTGTTGCTATTGAGGCGATGATGGCCGTTGCTGTCGCTGTCGACGTTGGAGATAGTGTTGGTGTCGGCGGCCGTCGTTGGCCTAAAAGAAAAAGCCGCTCTGAGTGCACGCTCCTTCTCCGCGGTGCCCGCGTGCTGCGGTCCGTTTGACGCCGTGGCGCCGCCGCCGACCACAGCCATGCGATAACGGTCAACAACATGCAGACTGCCCCCCCTCAGAAGCCGCCGTAGCAGCCAAACCCCATGAACTCATTTCACCGAAACGATTCTGTTCTTTCTACTCTCTCTCTCTCTCTCTCTTACATTTATATTCTGTTCAATCAGTACTCGCCTATTATTACCACCGTAGATTCGCCTTTGTTCACTTGTCTTTGCTGTTGTTGATGCGGTTGTTGTTGTTGTCATTCAACCAACGTTGCACAAGCTGTAGTATACACAGTACACAGGTGGGTAGCACTCGGAACAACCTAATAGACAGTAAGTCAATCGGATGCACTTAACAGACAACAGCAACAACAACAACAACAACAGTAGCAACAACTATTAATAAATCGACCAGTATCCTCTTTATAGATGATGATTCTCTCCCTCCGGTCTTCTATGACAATCAAGAGTAGACGTAAAATACCCCTGTCTAAACGTGAATATCAGTTTCGGCGTTGTGACAGAGAGATAATTGTACGGTACACGCACAATCCGACGAACCCTCAAACATAGAGGGGGAAGGGTGATCAGCCGTGTGAGACCGCAGATGAGACGTGGCAAGCACAATATCCATGAGCCGTCGGTTCAGCAGTGACAATCAGTCCGCAACAGTCGCTTAAGGAGAGTGACGATTAGTAACGCAGTCAAACAGAATGAGAGAAGGATGACCGAGGCTCTAGCAAGAAAGGGTTATCGGGCAAGATGTTATGGGTCCTATTATTATGTAAGGATTACTGTGTTACTCATATCGTTTAAAAGAAGAAGCGTCTATCACATTTTGATGACTGGAGAAGTCAAATGGTTCGGGGACAGACGAGTAGTTAGGTTGACGGCACTTATTTGCCCGCTGCGCTATATATACTAAACAGGCGGCCCAATGCATCCAATACTGACAGCTTCCTCAGGAGGAGTTTCCTGTGGCATCTAAGCCTTCGTTCAATCCTGGTTCACTTGACGGACATTCGACAGCGATGCCCGCTGATCAGTTTCAAATAGTATAAAACTTAATCAAAAATCACTTAAAAACGTTTTGCATGTCTATTCGTTTGCTGGTTATCTTCTGTTCTGAAAGTAGACGATAACGAATGACCGTGATAATGTCAGCACAACTGAGCGAAAAGGATGACGGTTACCCACTGTCGCTTAGAACAGTCAGTTCAGAATTATGAAGGCAATTATTCCTTGCATCTCTCCCCCAGATGTCGATAGAATTTCATTTCCCGAGCAACGGATCAAGCTGTTTTCGTAGAAAACGTAACATGCTGATCGAACTAATTCACTGCCTGATTAGCTCTTTTAACCAAATAATCAGCTAACGTAAAAGAGCCATGAAAATAGCTGGTGGTAAACGTGAATTGGTTGGTGTCAGTTCGCATTCAATTTTTCACTGAAAATGAATACTTTGAGATCGCTAGCGAATTCTCTCAACAGCATACTTTAACAACACTAGCACCACGGCCGGATCAAATATATAGTGTCAGTATCAGACTGTGACGATTTGCTTTACCTATGCCATAGCTACGTTACTATTAGCTATCGGCTGCACGGAATGACAACTGATTTGAAAACCACCATTCTTATTACAAGTGTTGTCATCAATAACCGCACTGAGTACTATAATAGCATGATTCATCATGAGATTGAAGTGCATGAGTGCACTTCCACTGCCTCGTAAGACTGTGTACAAACAGCTCGCCCGGCCCAATTAAGCTAGTCTGAGCCTTCTTGATTCTTTATGTGTCAAAATGTCGTCGACCACGGTAAACTATTAATTAACCGATGGACAGGCAACAGTGACGACGGCAGCCGTTGCAACCGTGGACGAAGCAAACTCGCCCACAACTAAACAATAATGGCAGTAGCACGCACTTCCATCACATAAAGCAGAGCACTATAGCGACGACCACCAAGAACATTATCGCCGGTGGTCGGATTCGAAATGTACACGCGACTCGGATGAGTAAACCACCGAGCGGCAATGATGGTGGTTATAAAGACGTCTCAACCGCGAGCTGCTATCGTAAACGGCGTAAACGGTCACAACAGGGAAGAAAGCATATCTTATAAAACGAAAGGAAAGGAGACAGACAAAATAAGACGCAGACTCTCGTAGAAAACTCACAAACAGAAATGAAAAGCAAATTGCTGACACGCACTAGATACTATTATGCTAGTCTGTCCCGCCGTTGATAGACAGAGCCGCATTGCATGACAATGTCATCAAGGCCTAATTATCTCCAGAAAAAAAGGAAATGTTAGATCGAGCACTTTCACAGCTACAGTGATTACAGGCGAGTTATGATACATTTTGAATAACGATTTAAGTTTCTCCTACTGATCCGGATGATAAGTAAACTCTGACAACGAGCGTAATTCCAGGAAAAAATAGGAATCGCAAGCATCGTTTTTTATCAGATAGAAAACAATCAAAATAAAATATAACGCTCCGCTGAGATCTTTTGTAGCGTCGCGTCAGCAGCAGCAGTGACAGCGGCAAATCCATATGCCAGATAAGACGACGGGTGTACCACCCGATCCTATCTGTCCTATCGGATCGAATAGGATTTAGCATTGGCAGAAGATAACATGAAGGGTAAAATTGTTGCAGCGAGAGCGACTGTACGCCGTGTCTCACGTGTTGTCCCAGTCGAATAGAGCATTGTCGTCATCAAATTTCTCACTGGCACAAAAATAACCGGCTAAAAAGAGAGGAATACCTTTTCTACTAGAATACAGCTTTCGATAAAACGCCACCATTTTTTTCATCATAGAGTCTTTATAGCGGCGCGAACGCCTTCTAATAGCAAAATGAGAGAACCGGCGTACACAGTTTGTTCCCGCAACTCCCAAGGCAAATGCTGTGCGTTACTGCCACGTGCGACGTAATTAGCAAGGACGCGGCGAAATGCTGCTTCCAACAGAATAATATTGCTGTTTCTACTATGCCGATTGTACAGTACGACTCATTACTTATAAGGTCATGTAATTTTTTGGAGATATATCAAGCATTTGTATACGACGAATATTCGAGATATGATAATTCCATTTTTCTTTATAAACAGCATTTCTACCCACAGGAACAGGTATAAATAAACACCCACAGGAGCCGTTAAAAGTAATGGTGAAATGCAGCACACTTTACTATGTATATTATCATATCTCTGTCAATACCCAACAGAACGGTTGCCATACATTAATGTATAATAGTGGCTTATATTCTTCGACTGTATCTTTCGAGACCTACAATAACTTAATGATAAAACATACTTTCTACTCTGATCGTTTCATTATATATACGAAATTCACAAAACACATATATATATATATATATATATATATATATATATATAATAACGACTTTCTCCTCCACTCAAACAATTACTTGACAGTTTGAAAATACATCTGTTTATTACAAAGCTCTTTTATGTCAGTAGGTCAATGATTTTTTCTCTGTCCATCCATATCTACTGAGTTTTATGTTTTTACCAACGGAATTCACAATCCGGTTTGAAGGAACCCTGTCGGAATCGTTTTCAGGATAAATCTGGCAGCTAGCGGCAGATGATCCGAACCCATTGCTGCATTTGGAAGCCCGCCGATACTTTGCAGCTCCTCGAGCGTCATCAGACTTAAGGTGCCAACATGCCTGAGGAGACGAGAGTTCTGGAAGAATATATAGTCCACCGTGACGGCGTCGTCGTTATATGACGTAACCTCGGCCGCGTCCCTCTTTATGTGTGAGTAACATGACTGAAATTCGCCTAGCAAGTGGTATATGAATCCATTAGTGTAAGCTCGTTCCATTGTGGATATGGCTTCAATCCCATATCGCCCAATATAGGTGTCTTCAAGGATCGTACACGGCAGCAAGTTACCCACATTAATTTCCTCCGGTCGGATGTATTGTCCACCACCACGGCCAGCAATCTCACCATGTAACAGCCCATCTAAAGTAAACTTACCCTGTTTAATAAACTCATACAGAGGACAAAACGGTTTTGAGTTAAAGTCGCCGCATAGTATGATCGGTGTGTATAGTGGCGTTGACAGATCACTTTCACAGGTGCCTAAAAATGCCACTTTTTCGACCTCAGCTAATAGATAGCGAAGTTGGGCTAATTTTACTTCACCACGCTTTGGGTTGAACAGCAAGTGTGTTGTGGCCACGACTAATTTCGCCTGCGGCTTGTCGCGTGGTGAAAGCAGCGTAACGAGTCCGATATTATCACGATTTAGGATCCGACAACCTGGAACTCGCATTTCGACCGAACTCCATTGCAAAATGTTGAATATTTCCTTTCGCCAGAAAACTGCGCACCCTTCAATTTTTCCCCCTGTTTTACCCTTATAGACATATTGATAGCCCGCGCGCTCCAGTTGCGGAGCAATTGATTCTAGCAGATGCTCCTCTTGGACTTCCTGAAGACAAAAGATGTCGCAATTGTGGGTTATCATTTGTTTTATAAGACGCTTAGCGCGAAACTCCCACTCAAGATGATCAGGATTGCAGTGTCGATAAAGTTCAGGATGATTATCTAGATTTGTTTGCGCTAGCAAGTTGTATGACATTATCGAAAACGCAGTTTCGTTCGGAGACGCGTGTACTGGCTGAGTCGATACGGGTTGCCAGCGGCAGTAGTTGAGTGCGCGCCGTTCGATTTCTTCTTGGCCGAGTGGGCCCGCCATTTTCTTTCCGGTGGAACCCGCCCTTGGCTTGATCTGTTGCTTGTAGACTCTCTGATGTTTAAAAAACTTCAAGAGTGATGGCCAGCAGATGGCGTTACGTGTACAGCATGCGATGGCGACGGATGGTCGGAGCGTAACGGTTCGTAGGAGTGACCACCGCATGGGTCGACTCGTGGCCAGCTCTCGGACGTCTACGAGACGGTTCAGCGACTGCGGTACAGCAGAGAACGGGTCTCATTCAGCTAGCAGTTCAGCTATGCGGTTTATAGTTGTAGATAATGATAAATGAGATTTGTGGTACGCGCTAATATTTTATATAATGATGATGACGATGCTCATGGTTCACTTAAGACTTGAAACCCAAGGGTTTGGCATAAACGAAGAAGCAGTTTGATATTTTCAATGACGTTGTACCAGAGGGGGCAAAAAACTGAAAGAACTCGATGTGGAACAACTGCCCAGCTTAGCAAGAATGATTATCGATTGATTTCAATTATTGCGTTGCTTTATTCACCGGTTCTAATAGGACGCGTAAAGTTTACCGGCTACAGCTGTCACATATGATTCAGTTGAGTGTCACTGTGCTTGGAAAGACGATGGAACTTTGTCAGACAAACGCTTGTGCTAGCTTGGGGTTCACCAAGGAGCGCGAAGCTGGGCACCAGTTGCGCGCAAGCGACGCTAACTCGCCCTCAGATACAATAACATTGAGCGGCAGTCATTGACCATTAAGAGGAGTTGACCATCAACCCGTTCTTCACAACCGAATTTATAATCAAACAAACAGTTCACGAGAGCAATACGATGGAATGGAGTCGTTCTCAACGAGCAAAGAGAAACTCTTAGGAGGGTCAACAACGACGACGGAAAGGAGACATCAATCAAGGGTGACTTCGAACCAAAACAAAGCATCTCACCTGCCGTGGAACCAGTCCTTGCAGACGTCGCACTGGATCATGAAGCGTTCGGGGTCATAGGGTTGTCCACAGAGACAGTACACGGGTTCCTTTGACGAGGACATCGTATCGGGGGTCTGGGGGAGCTTAATTTGCGCCCCCAACGATCGCCCACTGCACAACACTCGGAGACTAACTTTGTGGACGCGGGAACAAGTTCGAAATTTTGGCAGAGTACTAAATGCGTTCTGGCGCCCACGTCGACCATTTTCCGAGGTTGACCGAACCAATTCCGTGTTTTAATTCGCATATCGTTGCAGGTTCATTGCGGCATAGGTCGATTTCGTTATACATATAGGTCAGCTATCAGATCCTGCATGCATAACTACTTTGCACAGGTTGACTAATTGTCGTTCGGCGGACAGAGGTCCGCCAGTCTCTTGCGCATCTCTCTTTCCATTTCGTTCTAAACAGAGTTCCGACAATTATTGCCGACAACGGGAGTTAGTCTGTATACCGGCTCAAGACCTCAGCAAGGTGTGTGTGTGTGTATATGATGTGAAATTCAATTCCAGAGTTGATATTTCACAGTGCCACAGAATTAAAGATAACGTGGTTTATATAAGGCCAACCAAACACATCTGCAGCTATATTGCATAAAGATGTGGGCTGCATCCCATGAATAGCCGTCCTGCAGCAAGCGAATGTGGTCTGCATCAGGCAGCCCTACCATAGTAGAACACATAATAGATAGACTATATATGGATGTGGTGGTCAATTCTGACGTATTCTATAAGTGCGAAGTCATGCTACAAAAAAAAACACTGCGTCAGGACTTTAGTTACGTAATGATCTTTACTGCGTGGCACAACAAACATTGTCGTAACCACTTACCGTAGCCATATGCGAGTGCTACAGAGAGGGGGTACCGCTAATCAGCAATTGCGTTCCGTCTAGCCAGTGTTAATCATGCGCCATACTAACATTATGTGTTGCAATGTGCGAGTTTCAGATGAGTGCAGGAGACTGGTGTTTAATCGAGAGCGATCCCGGAGTATTCTCGGAGCTCATCCGAGGTTTCGGAGTAACAGGCGTACAAGTCGAAGAAATTTATTCGCTAGACGAGGTGAGATCAATTAATTTTAACCGTGGCCACATGTTCTATTATCCTTAAAAGGAAGTACGTTACCAACGTGAGTCATTATGCAGTGATTGCTGAAACATTATGTTAATATTTTTACAGGTTAGCGAAAAACGAGTAAAGACGGAAATCGATAAATATGCTTGTCTGTCGCATTCTATTTTTGAAAGCCGTTAATATCAACCCGATATCACCGTTGTCACTATTTTTTGAGTATTCAGCAATTTAGCGGTATACCAATTAGACATGCTTGCCTTCCGTTGTTACCCTTATTTGATACGTAAGTACACCGTGAATGCATTGCTACGAGAGCAGACGTGACCGATATACACATGACGATAAATTACAGCAAGAAAAAACAGGTAAACAAAGAATACTGAAATAGGTACATGTAACAGAAGTAGTTAACATGTCGCTGTTATGCTACCCAATGTGTTAGATTCAACACCTAGAGGAGCATCCAACATAGACCACAATGTCAGTTTTTAGATTAATCTAATCACTATTTTCATTGTATTATAATTCGTAATAATTTAAAATGTTTTTGTAAGACACAGCATTGTTCTAACTGTCTAGACTCTCAACAAGAAAAAGCAGATTATGTTTTCGCAGCTGGCAGCCCTATTTAAAGGCGATAGTCATCAAATTACCTAAGTCATTTTTACGGAAGGTGAAGTTCGACTACAAATAAAACTATGTTTGGTGCTGCTATCATACCTGAAAATATCGCATTTTTAAGGAAGCACTTGGGAATCTTTCTTTCTTAATATTTATTACACATTCATGTCCACATACGTGCAATTTCAAAACATTTGCGATGGGCTGATGAGCCAGTGGTGTGAATCTTCAAAAAATTCGGTTAGGTTATCTTAATATGGCATATTAAATCCGACTCTCTTTAGCATCAGACTACTCATGAACCTTAATCCGGAATTAAACTCGACAATAGGCAAAAATTATTTTAAGACATATTTCGCACAATGTAGTGAAATAAAGATTAAAGGTTAAATTTAAGTCTGAGCATTTCATTGGTTGTAATATTTTTATTTTTGATTTGTAACACTGTCCCTTAATATTGCTGCGATTTTTACCTTTACAGGATTCATTTGCCGATTTGAAACCAGTTTATGGGCTGATATTCTTATTTAAGTACACAGATAAGGCCGGGCCCTCGAAAGGTCGCGTAGTTCAACGTAATGATGTGTTTTTTGCTCGGCAAGTGATCAACAACGCGTGTGCCACACAGGCCATTCTTTCCGTACTTATGAATCTCAGTGATCCTGACGTAAGCCTTGGTATGAAAACGATCTCGCCTAAATTTTTTTGGCTACCGACTTTTTTGTTGACATTTTCAAAAGGAAACTTTTAGAGAAGAAGTTACTCCTAAATTTTGCTATTAAGTATCTATAACTTTTATAAGCAGGAGCAAGGTGCATGTCGAAAGAGTCAAAATTGTAAATTTGATAGACAGATTTTAAGATTGCTTTAGTTTGTAGCAATAAAATGAGAATAAGTGAGTTTGCACTTCAATTATCTCCTCCTTTATGAAAAAATAACAATTTCATTTTATTATAATTTGGTGAAGATCGCACAGTATTAAAAAATATTTATTAATAAGGTTATTTTGTGACTTTGAATAAGTCATTACTTTGAATCAAAATTAAAGCTGACGTCGATATTTAACATAGTAGCGTAATAAATTAGGTCCGACTATGTAGCACTATGATTATATCATCAGTGAACAGTTATATGGTGTATAATTGTTGTTTTTTAATATTGACACCTTTATTATTACAGGTGACAATTTGACTCAGCTGAGGGATTTCACGAGCGAATTTGATGCTCAAATGAAGGGGCTGACGATTTCAAACTCAGATGTAGTCCGCAAGGTGCACAACTCCTTCGCAAGACAGCAGATAGTTGAGTTTGAGCAGAAAGCGGCAAAACATGACGACGACATATACCATTTCGTAGGCTACATCCACTTCAAAGGAAAGGTGTGCCGACACAGCGTTTAATGATAGAGCATATCTTGTTTGACACAGGTTTTAATACGCGTGGCTAAATAATCCATTATCTAAATTTAACCGTTCAAAAAACTGGAGAACAAAATCCATATATATGGGGTGTCCCAAGAATGTATACGTTGCAATTTAAGCTATTTTTCTTTTTACAATATACTGACTGATGCCAATTTTTTTAGTTTACTGCGAGAACCTGTTTTATCACGCATTCGGGAAGACTCTAGTAAAGATTGAAAATTTTATTTTCAAAAGGATAAAGCAATTAAGCACTATAATTATAATGTAAAAGAATATCTGGGCTAAGATCTCCCAAACAGATGGATTGGCCAAAAATGCCCTATAAAATAGCCTAACCGTTTCCTAGATCTCATGACAATGGACTTTTTCATACTGAAAAGGCGTAATTAAGTTTTTGAGCCAGTAGTCCACTATTGTCAGTAGCATATTAACCAGAACGATGACAATCCTAAACATCTGTGGAGAAGGAAATGTTTCACATCTTATGCAGATTCTTTTGCAATCTAAATATTAATTTTATGTAAATAAAAACTGACAAATATTCAAACATGTATATACATTTATAACACCGTGTATTATAATTGAAGCTCACTGTGTGGCCTTAGCCTGTGTATCAGTTAAATGTTATGTTTTTATGTACTTACCACTCTACGCATAAAGTCTATGAGAGCTTAATGACCATATGAACGACTGACGATGTTGTTTCTCTGCACAGGTGTTTGAGCTGGATGGCCTTCAAGAGGGGCCTCTTGAACACTGCGAGGTACCGGTAGGTGAAGACTGGTTGAAGTATGCAAGGCCGGTCATTGAGCAACGCATGGGACAATATGCCCAGGGCGAAATACATTTTAACTTGATGGCACTCGTAAAAGATCGACGAGCGGCGTGCATTAGGAAAATCGAAGCGTTGCGGGCAGAAGTTAAACAAGGCAAGAAAACTCAGGAAGAGGTCAGTATAAATCGAATTCGATTTACTATTTTAATGTTATTTATAATTGGTGTTGAATAAGCAGGTACAAACATACGTATTTTGAAAGCCACTTTCGTATCCTGGTTTAAGATATACGTCTCTGTATCGACTTAAGCTCAAGCTTTTTTATTTATAATACATTAAACCGGAAATCACAAAACTAAAATAAGACTTAAGTTACTAGCTTTACTTGACCTTAATTTCATTATATCAAACGCTTATGGTTATTTGTTATATATCTGTTCCCCCTAATTTTCTTATCTTGGCTATTGATCGCAGATTAACGCGGAACTGAACAATCATCTGATAACCATCAGAGACGAAGAAGCTAAGATTCGTCGCTATAAAGAGGAAAATATCCGGCGGCGACATAACTACCTGCCGCTTATCATTGAGCTCCTTGAGATCCTTGCTGAACAAGGCCGACTTGTCTCATTATGTGACAAAGCCAAGGAGAAAGCGCTTGAAAAGGAAAAGCTAAAGGCCGAAAAGAGGAAAGCAACCGATATCTCTAAATAAAAAAAAAGCTGTAATGACAACACTATAGATATTGGACCCGTATATCAACGGAGTAAGATTCATTCAAGCTCAGATTTATAGCGAAAACTAGTTTAAATGACCTGTTACGTATGAGAAGACGAGATCAGATTGCTTAGGCGTTCCCGACACCGAAACAAGCAACAAAAAAAAACCAACAAAGATGATTATCACTCTGTACTATAAAGCGTGACGTGTATGTTCTGAGATGAATGTAAATTGATGTATTTTGTTATCTATATATTTGCATGTATACATATAAATGAATATAGAGATGACAGATACCTGGACGTATACCAGTGGTCGAATGTTCTGCGTTCCAGACATCGTGAGCTGGTGAGCAATGATAGAATGGGATCATATGCTAAAAAACTTCAAACAAATAAAACTTAATCATGTACTAAGACAGTGAGACTCGGCGAGTGATGGAATGAAGCTTCGTTTACCAGTGAGACTAAATGAATAGAAATAAACGATATTGGTAAGCATGTAAAACTGCGAAAGCTGGCCATGACCTTCTTCAATCGTGATATGTATGCAAGTAGTTTTAGCTCACTAGATATCCATTAAGGTGAATCGTATGCTATTAGTTGAGGAACGTTTAGGCATTTTTTGAATGAATTGTAGCTATTTTTTCAAGACTTCACGTGTTTGGGCTAGAATAGTTATTTGCTTTTACATTAGGTGGGTACCTATACATAGTAAATAAGCAACTTAAAATGAGGTGGACTTAAAAAGAAGTCTTCTGAATTAATTTCTATCTTCCTTGATTAATTCCTAAATATATACTTTCAGGGTGGGATTTTTTATTCCAATTCGAATCGGAGTTCGCATTATAACTCGAAACGTAAATTTCAATTTCAATAAAAATTATAAAGTCTAACAATTTTTTCGAAATTATTCTCCTTTATTTCGTTAAGTAGGGATCAGTTTTTTCAAAACTCGCTTAGATAATATGTCACTTAAATTACGCGCCATATAATAATTTAACACCTATAAATGGGTCAAAGACAAGCTTGGCATTTGTTATTTTTTAAAGGTGTTACCTGATTAGGTATACTCTTATTTGATAGTACTGATAGATAGATCGTCGTTTCATTAAGATATATCATTTAAAGACCTCTTTCCTGTTGTATTAGTTTCCTCGATACAAAAGGGAAAAATTTAAACAATGATTGGTGTTAATTTCTCCAGATTTTTTCTAAATAATTATTGGATTAAAAGCCCATTGTACATATGATATATGTATGTTCCAAAAGCATTTAAGGCAAGCGCATGTATAAAGTCAAGAGATATAATAAACGAATCTGCATTTTATCAGTGTAATTCCACATTGAATTTCCAGGTGCTACAAATGCCGTGTATGTTATTCAGTGTATGCAATTAGCACTACAGTTACCTTGGTCACCTATACAGTGTCCAATAAGATTTGGGGTAGTCTTTTTCTGTGAGTAAAAATAGATATTTCGATGAACTTCGTTTTTGCACCTGCGAATAGGAACAGTTTCTTTCAATTAAGCTGTTATTCATTTAGTTGAGGCTAAAAAGACATTTATAATGCAAATTATAATAATGCAAATATAATAAAATTCGCAAAAAAACTTTTTAACGGTAGCCGTGAGTGACGCGATATTGGTGGAAATCAATTTTAAATGGACGGAATTTTTGCGTTGCTTTTCCGTCTCACCGAAAGGTCAATGGTATAATGTTCAATATACTGTTGATACAAGGTCTCTGCACAGTTCGTATAGTGCATTACTTTTTCTACTAGTATCGCCTTTACGAAACAGAGTCGGCAATATGGCGACACTTCCACAAATAGTGAGTAAAATAAAAATACCTTTAGGATGGTGGTTTACTCTGCATAAGTGATAAAGATCTTTTCATTTAAGAACAATCAATAACGCTTACGAATTAATGGCATATGTTTAAAATTGTGTCATAATATAGTGCAGTGTAAATGTTTTCCGACTTCTGCGTTTTCAGGGAGCATCTATCTGGCTTTCATTACATAGGGAGTGAACGTGAGGTTTCTGCGAATTATGCAGCATGCGTGTTAGCAAAAAATATCTATGAATTCGAAATCAATATGTCAGTCTCATTAGGTATGAATTTTTGCGCCTGCTTTTGATGAACTTTATGGCACCTTCTATTGTGAATCCTCCACGCTGATATAGAAGATCCATGAATCCTTCGGAAGTCGTATCGAGTCCGGAAACAACGATTTTGAACACCTAAGTAAGTTGGAAGGCGCACGTACGGTGCTTTCAGCATCGAAATATTAAACATCGGCTGACCTTTGCTCGTGTTCTGAAAATACATGTCATGTCTTCAGCTGTAAAGAGTATATGGTATTGCTCTAGAAGTAACTGGTTTTCCTGTAATACCTAAAATAATAGCTGAACATATAATAAATAGCCCGTTAAAATGTGTTCCAATTTGGACTAAACACCCTGGGTATACAAGACAGTTTGTTTATTTTCGATAAGGATATTGGCTTAATCCAATAAATTCTGCAAAAATTAAATGTTTCTCCACACCATGTGGGTAAATCTGCTATCACTATTATTTCTAGGTTCTCGTAGACTGTTGCTTGTATTAGAAATATACCCCACTGCAGTTCCTACATACTTTAAGCAAGTGAATACAGCATAGTATTATTAATTAGCGTTTCATAATTTAATCGTTTAATCTCGAAAAAGAGCTTCTTCAACTATATTTTCTACTAACAAAATGTTTGTCTAACGGATCCAGATAGCACCCATAATTCTACATAATAATGATCGCTGTAGAGATCTCCACACACTCGTACAAGCTTGCCTACTGAAAATGTTGACGATACTATTTGACAAATGATCTCCTTATGCCATAAAAAACAAGTCCTATTGGGAAACTTTTTTATTCAAGACTGCTTATAACATGCGCTTTAATGTATTTTTTACATTACCTATTAACTTATAAGCTATCCGAAACAAGGGTTCATTGAAATTCGCTTTTACCATTTTAAACCATTTCAACGCAGTGGCATAAGCAACCGAAAATTGTGCCTTTAGAATAATATTTTATAGCCTTTTTTAACACTACCTTCAATTCATTAAATTAAATTGAAGAGGTAAGTTAAATATTCGCCGAATTTCATTTAGGTAGTTAAATAACCATGGGTTTGAAAAAAGTGCTATCAAAGTTTCGCCGTACACCGAGACGTACATGGTTCAGAAACTCAATGCAATCGATCTACTTTATCTCGAAAATTAAAAAAAAACAATGCGCTGTCTACTTTCTGTTGAACTAGCAGGAATTTTTTTATAGCGTATCTTTCTATTTCGCAAATGTGTGTTAAACGACGATTTAGAAGTACTGTAATTTGGCGTTAGTAAGGAGCGCTTTTGAAGCTTATTTGCAAAAGGATTTTTACTGCACTGCTAAAATTTTTTACATATGATATACTCATGATTCCTATGTGCCATATAGCCTCGCCACTATGTAGACAACAATCCCGATCATATCCGTTCATTACCTTAACGATTGTACGTTAGTAAACGATTTTACATGTGAAGTTCCATCAAATTGTATCAAATATATAAAGATACGGGAACAGCCAAGGTTTGTACAAAAATATCCGTAGACCTTCTTTGCGGAGTGGAAATTTTAATGTCCTATTTTATATTAGAAATAGGAACACCAAGTTGCCACTGACTCCGACTTTGAATACGATTTTGCTGGCTATGATTTACTCAGCTTACCAATGTGAAGCTCAGGACTTTTGTGCTCTTTCGGTAATGGCAACAAGATTTAATGACAATTTCGGTCGAATTGAAACTGTCGATCGAAAAAAAGATCGAAGGGTTATGCGGAACTCTAAGATTCACACTACCTTTTGAGAATCCAAATGTATGCATCGCATAGTAGCCACAAACGCGAGCATCACTCATTTACATATGTTTATTTGTAGTGCTAAAGATATTTTGGAAATTTTGGTTAAACAATATTTAGTTTGGTCTAGCAGATCTTTACTAATATAAGTAGTAAGTATATACCGCAAATGATCACATGGAGGTATTATTTTGTCTAGGCAGCCTATTTAGATCAGTTAATAGATTTCATAAACGGACAAAAGTTAACATATTGTTATCTGTCCCGAATTAAAATTAAAAATTAATGTTCTGTATAATGGCCTGTATATAATAATGATAATTCTGTGAGAATCGTAGACAATTAAATGATTAGTCACTTGGGTTTTGTATTTATTTAGAAGCGAGAATTACTGGAAAAAAGCGTGAGGAGACTAATATGTAGTTATTTCAGGCCCTGTCTACTGCTGTAATTAGAGGTCTTCCTGCGTGCCACTGATTTCGATAGCTCGGCAGAGACTGTTTTTATTCTCCCTGGGCTTTGAAGTGGCAGAAAAACGGCCGATAAATCATTTGCAAGCAAAAAAAGCTATTGAATGTAATTTCCATATATATGTTTTCTGCTACAGTGGAAGCTTTTGTTTTTTGTAACCAATTCTCGAACATGACTATGTCGTATTAGGTACTTATCGTATGACTTTTAATGTAACCGCATTAAATAGTCGTCTTAAATAGTCCTTTAAACGAAGGTAAGAGCTAATCAAAGTGCAGTAGTTAGCGGTGTTATTTTTTTGACGGGAAAATTTGCTTGTAAAACTAACATTTTACACGCAACACGTTACTGAATTATAATGTAAATACTTACAATGCGGAACTGAGTGAAAATCAAGTCCCTTGTGACTTCAAGGCAGTTGGGAACACGTATGTGTTGTAGTGTCGTATAATAACGTGCAATTTGCGAAACTTCGATCAATGAAGAGCACGCCTGGAAAATACGATTGCTGTAGACTTCGCATCGTTCAGCCTTTACTGCTAGTCAGAGAGGAACTGAGCAAATTAATGCGTCATTCTGGAAAAAACTTGAGTTCTCTGAGAGTGCCGCGTATCTTAGGACGTAAGGCGATACTAATACCTATGGTGGATACCAGGGGTATCTGCTGCTATGAGGTACTCGCCGAAAATGGAACAGTGCAATCCGTTATCTCGAGACTCATGTGCAGTTGGCACAGCAATCAAAGACACGCAATGTGGTTACTTGATGATAGTGCCAGAGTACGTCGCTATGCCTGAATTACTTCCTCGATTAAGCAAAGAGATGTTTAACCTTGATTTCAACCCGTTTAATCTCCCGATCTGTGTACGTATAGTTACGGGACTTCCCATATTCTAAAAAGAACGACTGGCAGACAAGTATGTTCCATTATCTTTAAGAAGCCATAGGTAAAAAACAATTCTATATGGGAACACGAGTAATTAATATATACCTGTCCAGTGTAAGAGCGCTGGGATAGGAATGACTATCTCTAGCTCATAGCAAAATTGCCGTTCTAGCCTACTTAGTTTTTAATTCCAAGGTTTCTGTTGTAACAGACTAATATTTACCAAAAAATTAACGTATATATACAAATTATTGGCGCGCTAAAGGAAGCTAAATCA